ATTATCTTTACGTTCTTGCCATATTTTTTTATTTTGTTCGAGAAATGGTACACAAAATTTCATTTCTATAATGCAAAAATATAAATATTAATTAAAAGATATAAAATATATAAAATAAATATAATAAATAAATAAATAAAAAAATATATATATATATATATACCATGTATCAGATCACCAACACACTTAAACAATGGCATCGCACAATAATCGATAAATCCTATCTGAGATTCGGACTGAGTGGTCTTTCCATTTCTATCATTTAATGGAATAATAGGAAGACCAAGCTTTCTTTCCAAATCACCTTGACAACGGAATTCTTCAATTAAAACATTCGACCAATTGGCAGCTATATGATAAGGTCTAGCCTAAAGTAAAATAAAATGTTTAGAACATTATTTTTGAGTAATTAATTCATAATGTTTTTAAAATAATGTTTTTAAAATAATGTTTTTATAATAATTTTTTTTTTTATAAATAAATGATGATAACATACAACATTACTAATATCAGCGCATTTTATTAACGCGCCGATAATAACATTCCGAGCCTGTTCTACCATAGGTTGAGTATCAAATTTAGTATCCAAAGATTCAAATCTTTTTATTTCCTCCTTTATTTTAGTAACGTAATCATTATGTAAACTCATGTCTGTAGCAAGTATTGAATTAACTATGACTTTACGGAATTCTAATTAAAAAGAAATTATTTTTTAATTATTATGAAACAAGTAATAAATATTAAAAATGAAAAAGTAAAAAATTACCATTATATTTTGGATTATATATTGAGCCACTATTATTTTCGTATATTTTAAAGCCATGTTTTTGCATCATGTTAAATAATGTCATGGCATGAAAACTTTCTAATACGGATTTATCATTATACACCTGAGCCAAAGGAGTATTCGACTGGACCTACATAAAACAATTATCAATTATTATAAAACAATTTATTATTTTTTTTACTAAAAACAAATATTATTTTTAATTATTATTTTTAAAAATTACATACCAAGAAAGTATTATTTACACCGGGATGGCCCACATCATGACCTATTGAAGCCAATAATAAGGCAAACGCGTCGGTAACAGTCAACAGATCATTGGGACGACAACGTTGTTGATTAACTTTAATATTTCGTCGTTTTGAAGAAAATAAAGGAGGAAGGATATCCATTTGACACAAAAAATGAAACATTGCTTGTAAAACATCGACAGCATGAGTAAAATTATGGTATGGATTCGTATCATAATAAGATTGACGAATGGCTATTAGAAGTCGACGTAATTGATCTAAATATAAATATTAAGAAATATAAAGTATTAAGTATGATAATAAATTAAATATAAAATGAAATATAAAAGTAATATAATTATAAAATATAAAATAAATAAGTAAGGGTAATAGTACCTGGTGACACACTTAATTCTTTGAGATCATCAAGCAGCATCACGTGATCGAATATGATAAAGACGCATTCTAACAAATCATCATCATTTAATTGATGAGGATTAAATTCCCATTCAGATAGCTTTTTTTTAAGAAGATTTCTTCGTTCTAATTCAGCAGCCTGATTCAATCTAAAAAAACAAATAATGTAAATCGTAAAGAATAAATAAAACCGAATAAAATATAAATGAATAAATAAGATACCTTTGAGTGAAAGGCATTTTGATCATAGGCTCAGGAGGAGTATAATATTCAATGATAGCTTTTGCTAGCCTAAACAAAAGTAATGGCATAAATTAAAGGTAAAAATGACAATATAAATATAAATATATATATTAGAGTCATACCAATTATCTTTCATAAAAACTT